TATTCCCACTTATAACATTTTACTTTTATACTATTCAAGAAGTTTCGATGAACACAAAGGCCCCCAAACTGGAGATTCTTCAGCCTTACACAGGACCTGAAGAATCAGATTCTCTGGGGCAGGAATTAGGGGCTGCAATTCTAACAAGCACTGTGTGTGATTCTTGGGCAGAGAAGTTTGAGAAGCCCCAACGGATAACATCACTGGAAACGCAAGTTATCAAAATAATAATAGCAACAGTGATGTAAGCAGTAATGAACACTTCTTTGGAAAGATAAAAGTCCAAGACACCACTGCCAAAATCTTGCACAAGCTTTCCTGAAAAAAAGAAAAAAAATTCTTTGGCACAACCAAGCATAAAGAGTTTACTCCATGACATATTATTCCCTGTTCTCTCTGGTGTTCGGTTTTAACCACTGTTAATCCTTTCACTAGCTTTTAATACTTTAGCAAAATGCTTTACTCTCATCTTTTGAGCTAGGTAAGAGCATAACAAGCCTCACTTGAAATTACATGAAAAGGAGAGAAGTGAAATATTCAAAGACAGCACACCTCCCAATTCACCACTTTTCAGCTAACAACTATGCACTTTCCGTGTTCTAAAGAAACTGCCGACTGGGAGAAAGGAAGAAGCGTGTACATTCAATAGATTTCTTCAGTCTAGGCATGTCTGTGTTGCAAAGCACAATTGTGTATTTCTGAGATGCTAGAGGGGAGGGCAAGGGCATAGCCTCAGGTTTCACACCGTTTTGGCTCCTCCTCGGTGTTCAATTTCTTTCCCTTTAAACCAAGATGAGAAAACAGTATGCTGGGGGTGATTAGGAGCATGTGCTCCAGAGCCAGACAGCCTGGGTTCAATTCCCAGTTCTGCCACTGTGTAACTTCGGGCAAGTTACTTAGCTTCTCTGTGCCTCGGCAGACACAACTGTAAAATGGAGATAGCACCACCTCACTCACTTGGCATGGGAATTAGCTACGTTGATATAGGTGCAGCACTTTGTATAGAAACTGGTAGTGCTGGATATATACCTGTAATTACTATTTCAGATAAGTCGTAGACTGTCAAGTGGTAAAGAGACAGGGAGGAGAAGTCTGTAATAGCTAAAAAGGCACAGAAGGCAAACAACAATGAAAAGTTGGTTATTTCCAAGAAATAAAAACCCAACTACAATATACTGAAGCAATGGGCCAAGCAAAGCAAAGCTGTTTTTTCCTTGTTCGGCTGATGCTCGGCGGCTAGACCTTTCCATTTTCCGGTCTGGGTCTGTATCGCTGGATAAGTTTTATATCAGGAGCCTCCAACTCAGCAGGTCTGGCATTAGGGGGTGGCAGGACCTCTTACCGAGCCCCCGTGCCCATGAACATGACCAGGATCGCCACCCTCAGTGTCCCCAAAGGCAACAGGAGGACTTGACCTCCACAGAAAAACCCGAGGTGACAAGGAGCCTGGAAGAGCTCTAAAGGAATCCCTAATCCACCAGCTTCCCTGGTCATGGACTCTGGGAGCCCAGACCGGACTGCAGGCCCGCCATGGCCTCATTGCAAACAATCTGCACATGGGATTGTGGGCAGAAAAAGCAAATGGAAGGGACCCCCCAAGACCACACTGCCTGCTTTCTCCATTTTATGGTTGCTGTGGAGACTGAGGTTCAGAGAGAGGAAACGACCCACCCCAAAGCTCAGTAATACCTAGATGATTATCTCACCACAGGGACCACTGATAACTGAAAATAGAAGCCCTTCTACTAATTAAACATTATTTCATCTTTAATTGCCATATTTTAGCCATTCTTTAAAAAAAAGAATAAGTATTCTTATTATTATGCATAATAAGTATCTCATTAAAATAATGACATCAACCATCAAGCTAGCCCTTCCCTGTAACAACTGCTGAGCAGGGGGCCTGGTGATGTATCAGCTGTCTTGCTAGTTCTCCAGGGCAGACTGCAGAGATGCTGCGCAGTGCCTGGAGGGGTCACCACTCTGACCTGAATCTTAGAGCCGCCTCTCCATCATCCTAGCTTCCCTTTCAAAGCATTTGGGACTACCAAGCATAATTTACTTATCCAAAGTTCCTACAAACTTACTTAAGCTCTCAGCCTAATATCCTATAGTTGAACCAACTGAAAATACCACATGACTCCTTTCCTCTGCAGGTCCAGACAGTTATCACCTTGGCCATGACCCACTCCCCCCTTCCCCAGAGACCATAGCATAGAGGTCTGCTCAGAACCCAGCTCCAGCTAAAGGTTCAGCCACGCAGAATCCAACCTGGAGTTTCAACTGGCCAAAGCTGCAGATACCAAATTTTTACCCACAGTCTGTGTTTTGAAAGATCTGGCCTAGCAAGTTGATTAATATTTTTTTCTCCTTTTAAATAATCCAAGTCACATGCAATAGTCCATCGGAGCGTCCAAACAACAGAAGGTAACCAGTGTCGCCAAACTGACTTGCTATTTCAACTCAAAACAATGCATTTTAATTATTCTGAGCTGCCTTGTTCTGAAAAAACATTTGATCTTTGCTCTGCCCTCCCACCCTCTGTCCACACACCTTCTCAGAGTCACAGGGATTCGAAGACCCCGGTGGACAATGCAAGTAGACACTAGAGCCACCACACTGCCACAAATGGAGAGCAGCCTGGAATACAGCTGAGCCAAAGGCTGACTGTATTGCCCTCCCAGCAGTCAAATTTATCTCTGATCTGAATCTACAGCAAATTTCCAAGGACTGGGGAAAACATTTCCCATGAGCAAGAAGTTAATTTATTTGCAGGGGAAAATGAATGGCTCCCTCCATAGGCACCAGGAAACAACATGAAGTGACCCTGAAGACAGACCCCAGACAGAGCCCTCAGTTATGTAAGATGGCCTAAACTCAGCCAAGGGTGACAGAGGACATAAATTTTGCAATGCTCAGTAAGGGGGTCTGAGGATTCTTTAAACTGAAGCGCACCTTGTACTTAAATATACTCCCTAGTGAGAAATGACTTGGGTTTTGTAGGTTATACTTTAGGGGAGAGTGCTGAATTTGTGTACTTAGAAGAAATTATCAAATATCTGCTTTAGACAATTACACATAAGCAAGTTATCACTGAAAAGGCCAGATTAGAGGAGTCCGCTGTGTTAGGACAGGTCACCAAGAAGCCCTCTCCCCATCTTTCTGCCCCTTATATTTCATGAATTCCTTCCCTTTGTGTGTGTGTGTGTGTGTGTGTGTGTTTAAAAAGAAGCAGCACTTTAGAAACTAACTGGTATCTTAGGATTAGAAGGAGCAATATTTGAGACCATCCTCAGAAAAAAAAAAAAAAGACCCTCTGGAAGACTCTGTAAGAAAAATTCATTTTCCAATCAAAGCATATTAACTTGAACATATCCCAACCCACCAGAAAGCACTCAAGGTAATAAGAACCGTAAGAGGAGGAAGGGGAAAAAGAATGAGCCAGTGGGGGTAATTCTGCTGTCAGACCATACCAGTTCTACAAAACAATCAGCCGAAACCAGACTAATATTTCTGAAGCGTCCATCTCTGCCACCAGCCACCTGGGCTGAGGGGGGGGCAGGGGGAATCCCTCATTCCACTCTGCCCCACTTTGTTCAAAAGTGCAGGTAAGCCAAAGGACACAACTCTCACTGACCATAAACTTCAGGTACCCATATGGAGTGAAAGTGAAAAGTGAAAGTTGCTCAATCGTGTCCGACTCTTTGCCACCCCATGAACTATACAGTTCATGGAATTCTCCAGGCCAGAATACTGGAGTGGGTAGCCTTTCCCTTCTCCAGGGGATCTTCCCAACCCAGGGATCAAACCCAAGTCTTGTGCATTGCAGGCGGATTCTTTACCAGCTGAGCCACAAGGGAAGCCCAAGAATACTGGAGTGGGTAGCACTCCATTTGGAGGAGTACCATATGGAGTGAGGCATAAGTAGCACCATATGTAGTGGGGCATCCAAAACACTCACGCACTGCCAAGAGCTCACGCCCTTCCTTCAGTGTCAGAGTTCACACCGTGCCGGTTATGCACCAGACACTTCACACGGATTATCTCAGTCCTGTGAATTATATGTGTGTGTATGTTAAGTCACGTCAATCACGTCCCTATGGACTGTAGCCCACCAGGCTTCTCTGTCCGTGGGACTTCCCAGGCCAGATTACTGGAGTGGGTTGCCATTCCCTCTTCCAGGGGATCTTCCCGACCCAGGAATCAAACCCGCATCTCTTATGTCTCCTGCATTGGCAGGCAGGTTCTTTACCACTAGTGCTTTACGTTATGAGGAAAATGAAAGCTAGGTAGCTTGTCCAAGGTCACCAAGCTCTCCTTGCAGAGCAGGGACTTGAAGCCTCGTGGCCTCACTCCAGACCTCACTCTTACCCACTGTCCCCGCCCATCATAGGGGATCAGGGTACAAACGAGCTTCACTGACTTCTCCCCACACACACATCCCAGGCCTGCATCTGGCTTCCAGCAACACCCCACCACAAAAGAAGACTTCCCTTCTGGTTCAGACTGGACTCCACAGACAGGCTGTAATCAGTACATCATTTACAAAGGCGTCATGTTTAGGGAGCCAAAATGAAAGGCCATCATTTTGTGAAACAGCCTCCCAATTGAAACTCATGCTGCAATGTAGAAAAAGAGAGGCTACTCAAACCATTTTCTATTTTCTGCTGAGTATAAAGACTTTAACTTCACATGAGCTTGGAGATGTCACCACACTCTGTAAAAGGGAGGTACTAGGAAAGAAATCCTTCTGTCTCTGGACCACAGAGTATATTTCATTCAGTGGAAAAGAAACTGGATCTTCTCAATGTTTTTAAGGCTTGATCCTAAACAGAATGTTTATAATTGCAGATAATGTCATATAATACTGGGTCTTTTTCACTTATAAAACTGTCCTCAATGCAACGAAAGTGGAAACTTGCCTCCATGTGGCAACTTCAGATGAATCAAAGGTATAAAGCAGCTCCAAGAGGAGAATTCATTGAAAGTCTGTAAGACCATTTGCAAATATCACAGGTACTTGCTTTATATGAATGTCTATAGCCATACACAGTATCAAAATGAAACTATAAGGGAAGGAATTCACTGTACAGAAGACAAAACAATACCCTTTTTATTTTTAAAACTCTGGTGAAATAGGTTTCCATATGACATCCCATTTTTTAAAAAATTAACGTAAACCAACCTGCCTGTGGGTTAGTCACACTATAGAGACTTCATCATGGTGTGTACAGATGCCTAAAGTATTTACAAATGTTATCTGTTAGGTAGTAAAGTTTTGTTGCCATTTTTCCAGCACATATTCCACAGTAAAATAAAGGGGAGATACTGGTGTTCTTATACAAAAATTCTTAACAAGTGGATAAAGGCAATTTACCTGAGAGAAGATTTGTTCTTGAAATATTTTTTCACAACTGGAAATATAGAAATGGGATGTAGTTGTAAAAGAAGCATAAGAATGTCTAAGTTTACATTTTCTTCTTTTAAATTATTTAAGTACCATTAAGTTAAAATGTTTACATTCATTATAAAAAATGTTGTTAAATCTTTTATGCAAATGATTTAACACTGATTGCTGCAACGCAAATTGCACTTTTTTAAAAAAAATTATTGTTTACATGGAAGAAAAATATCTTTTGTTTGCTACCCTGTTTACAAATTCGGACTGACTTCGGGTCAGTCGCACAATATGAACTTTGAGAAACGTCAGTCACAGTGTATGTTACAGTTACGATGCAGTCCTGCAAACTGAGTGATATTTTTGAAGAGACCTCAAGAACCGACTCAGCCTCCGGAGGTGTGTACCAAACGAAGGATCTTCTCCATGAACGCGCGGGAAATCAGGGAAGGGGGCTGTGGAAAAGGGGCGGAGAAATTCTGGAATAACCAAAACTGATCAGAAGAAGCACATGATTTGGGGCAATACACATAAAACTTTGGTTTAAAAATCTCTTTCGATATTCCATGGCAGGCAAGGCCCCGGGCATAGTTCCGGTTTCTGCATGTGTCACGATGGACATCCAATCCCCTGGCCAACCCAGAGACCAGCTGCCTGGAAGCGGCCCCCGTGGCCAGGGAGGCTGTGGGCTGCCCCGGTCCTTCCCTGGAGAGGCGGTCCCTCTTTTCCCTGGGTCTTCAAGACAGGGCCCCAGGGGCAAGGCAGAGCAAGCCTCTCGGGAGATTCATCTCTTTCAAATAAAGGCACAGAAATCATGTATCAGAGGAAGAAGTCTGGTCAGCATCCTCGGCCCAGTCCGGACTGCTTGCCAAGAGGATCCATGAAGGCGATCCCACGGGCCGGCAGCGTCCTCCTCTGGTCCCCGCGGCCGCTCAGGCCAGGGCCAGGGCGCACCAGGAATCCTGCCTCACCGACGACGTGACTTCAGCCGGCGAGGCCAGGCTAACGCCGATGTACAGCCCGTCTTGACCTGAGTACTTGAGCTCGCTGTTCTCGGGGTTGGCGCTGTCCCCGGCACCGGACATCACCGAGCCGCCTGCCTGGTGGAAGAGGGGGACGGAGAGAAGGGGAGAGACAGTTACCGACAAATATGTCAGGCAGGGCTTCCCTGGGGACTCAGTGGTAAAGATCCACCGCCCGTGCAGGAGACGCGGGTTCAATTCCTGATCCAGGAAGATCCCACTTGCAGCGGACTGTGCGCCTCAACTACTAAGCCTGTGCTCTGGAGCCGGGAGCCGCAACTCCTGAACCCCACATGCCCCAGAGCCTCTGTTCCACAGCAAGAGAAGCCACCGCAACGAGGAGCCCAAGCACCGTGACTAGAGAGTAGCCGTCGCTCGTCACAACTATAGAAAAGCCCATGCAGCAATGAAAAAAATAATCAAAAATATATCAAACTATTATTTCTTTAAAATATGTCAGGGAGAGACAATCGAGATGGTTAGACTAGCCGGCAGAGCTGCTCACTGGGCGGTGAGATGCCCTTGACTCAACCCTGGTGATTTTCAGCTCTTAGAATCAGCCTCCTGCTCATGTTATTAACTCACGGCAGGAACCACCCGGCAAGATTTGCATGGACACAGGTAGGAACGGGAACTGGAGGCAGCCTATTTGTAAAAAGTGCCAAATGCTCAGATCTCTGACAGTGAAACAAACCACACCACATATGTCCACAGGCCCTAAGGATGCCCGCACATTCTAATCTCTGCAAAAGAGAAAGTGCAGAGCACTGCATGGACGTGCACGCGCGCGCGCGCGCACACACACACACACACACACACACACACACACACACACACAGAGCAGAACCATGAGGCTTAGCAGTTCTATTAAAGTCTAGGAAGGGAAAGATACATAGTTCAGCAAGTCCTGATAAATGAAATTTTTGGGCACTGACTTCATGGAAAATTAACCCATGCATACACAGGCTTTAATTCCTCCCAAGAAGAACAGGTCATGTTTGAAGCAGGCCACATGATAAAGAAAATGCTAGCACCTTATATCTGTCACGATCATGACAATTATTTCTTGAAGCAAAAGGTCATTTTTCTCATTTCATTCCTTCCATCTAAATTAAAATGTCAAATAGCAAACATGATATAATTTAGTAAAATCAAATCAAAATAACTAAAATCATGTTTAGATCATGGTTTGAGAATACAGTTGCATTTGGCTTTTTTAATCTAACCAAATTCACATACTTTTAAATCACTTTGTCCTCCTTCTAAAGCACTGTAGTTGTTCAGTCATTAAGTCATGTCCAACTCTTTTGGGATCCGTGGACTATAGCTCAGAAGGCTCCTCTGTCCATGGAATTTTTAAGGCAAGAATACTGGATATGGGTTGCATTTCCTTCTCCAAGGGATCTTCCCAACCCAGGGATCAAACCCACGTCTCCTTCATTGTCAGGAGAATTCTTTCCCACTGAGCCACCAGAGAAGCCTGGTATTTCTTCTGAATTTTCAGGCTTTCCATAAACTATAGAATACTTGTTTTTCTGACACAGGTAGAACATCTTGCACTTTTCAAAGCATTTTTTTTTTTTTTTTACATTCACAAGTCCATTAAATCCTAAAACATCCATCTGTCTGGCCAAGCTGATGTTACATCCACTTCAGAGAAACACAGGGCACCAGACACAGAACAAATGAATGTAAGTTTCCCAGAGTGTCCCTGGCTCCACTCAGGGGCCTGGAAGTGGATGCAGTCCTACCCTCTCCTCTCCGGAGAAGATCTGGTTTTGTCTCGAACCCTCAGAATAACTGTATGGGGCCGAGAGGCAGGACTGCAGGAAGTCCGACCGTGGAACTTCCCTCCAGCTGGATAGGCTGAAACCGGCCCCTCCATGGCTAACCAACCCTTCCCCTCCCTGGCAAAAAATGAAGGTTTGTGAAAATCCAGAACAGCACACCCCACCAAAACTTCTTTTTAAATAACACGATCTTAATGATGTAAACAAAGGGCTCTGGGTGCCTAAAAAAAAAGGAAGTTTCACAAACTCATTGAGATGTCTAAAATTTAAAGTAGGTTCTTGTGAAATAGATGAAATAACCCTGTTAAACAAACTAAAGCTATGGATTTACATACACATACAAATATGGTGGCCTTCCCAGGTGGCTCAGGGGTAAACAATCCAACTACAATGCAGTATATCCTGGTTTGATCCGTGGGTCGGGAAGATCTAGGAGTGCATGGCAACCCACTCCAGTATTCTGGTCTGGAGAATTCCATGGACAGAGGAGCTGGGTGGGCTACAGTCCATGGGGTTGCAAAGTCAGACACGACTGAAGGGACTGAGCATGCATGCACAAATACGGTGATTCCTTTTAGAAAACCTCAGCTATAAGCAAACTAACCATGGATCCAGGCTTAACTCCCAAAGAAATACATAAAAGGATGCTATTCAATTATAAAAGGAGTCTTCATTTTAGAAAAGAGCTATCACACAACTAGCAGAGTGAGGTCCCTTGTACACGATTGTCATATCCAGCTTTATATTACCTACCTATTCTCCGCAAAAAGCATTTTCTTCCCATTTGTCTGACAAATCTGACTTCACCACAGTGAGTGCTGCTTTCTGGAATGGAGGGGTGCTGAGACTGGCCCAGGAAGTGGCTCACCTCAAATGGCCAGACGTGCTGTGCCGTCACCACAAATCACAACCAACAATATCAGCAGAGCCAGGCAGTGGGGCCGTGAGCCCCAGACACAGTCGCTCCCAGCTTGGGTGGGGAAACCAGGACAGATACACTCAAAAGTAAGACCGCTCAACAGCTGTGATGAGTTTATGACTGTCCGAGACAGGAAGGTGGAAGGAGAGGTCGGAAAAGGAATTGCAGAGAAAGGATACCTGGGGGACGGCCGCAGACAGCCTGCACGGTGGGACCAGCTCTGGCTTTCCTGTTCTACCCTGGTTTCAGCCACCCACCTCCTGAGCCTCCTCCTCAGGAAACCAGCCCTACCTCAAGTATGTTCACGACAATTAAGTGAGCTAATGTTTGCAGACGCGTCAGAATGCCTTGCCATGTTAAACATTCCTTCAAGGAAGCTATTGTTGTGGGTGAGGAAAGGGTGTTCAAAATTGGAAGAATGCAGGATGTGGGGAGACCTGCTCGCAAGACAAGACGGCTGAAAGGGAAGGACATGAAGCAACGAGTCAGAAGAGGCTATGGGAAAGGGAAACTGGAAAGTCCGACCTAGAACTTTCTCAGTTTCCTCACCTGGAAAATAGAAATAAACAGGCAGCTACATCAGGAAATTGTTGCAAGGGTTAAATTAGAAAATATAAAGAGAGCCCTTGTCTCTGACAATAGTCAAGACTGAGTATGTGCATGCTACTATGAAAAAGTGTTAGTTGGTAGTCGTGTCCAACTCTTTTCAACCCCATGGACTGTGGTCTCCCTGTAGGGGAACCTGGTGGGCTACATACAGTCCATGGAATTCTCCAGGCAAGAATACTGGAGTGGGTAGCCCATTCCTTCCTCCAGGGCAATCTTCCCGGCCCAGGGATCGAACCTGTGTCCCCTGCATTGCAGGCAGATTCTTTACCATCTGAGCCACCAGGGAAGCCCTATGCTACTCTGAGAGCTTTGTTATTGCGGTGAAGGAGCATGGACCTAATGAAATCTCCCCAATGTCATTCTTCACCAGACAATTTGCAGCCATGGATGGGTAGGAGCAGCCCTAAGAACTCAATCAGAGCTAAGTTCACTTCAACCAGGACATTATTCTAACCATCGTTGACGGCTCTCCCCAGAAAGAAAGCCAGGCCCTCCTGCACCCCCCTTCAAAAGGGGCACTGGCCCTTTATCAAATAAGCTGCATTAAAGAAATATCAATACCCTGAATACTATTCTTACACCTGAACAACAGTCCTAAAAGCTACTATTGAAATGCTTATTGTCTTCTTTGTTCAGACAAAAATGTTATATGGCAAGCAAATCCCAAATTACATGGGTGATGTGCTCCTGAAAAAAACATCAACTTTGAAATCAAAAGCAATATCTGTTCCCTGTGAGAAAAAAAAATAAGTACTTGTGCCTAAGGTTTGAGAAACTTAATTTTTAAATGAGGATATACTATTTAAGGGCTTCCCTGATAGCTCAGATGGTAAATAATATGCCTGCAATGCAGGAAACCTGGGTTTCATCCCTGGGTCAGGAAGATTCCCCTTGAGAAGGGAATGGCTACCCACTCCAGTATTCTTGCCTGGAGAATCCCATGGACAGAGGAGCCTGGAAGGCTGCAGTCCATGGAGTCTCAAAGAGTCGGACACGACTGAGTGACTATCACTTTCACTCATCACATACTATTTAAGCAAGTAATGTGGCAATGCACAGCATTTTTTTTCATGTCAATCATACCTCAATTTTAAAAAATTGAAATTTTATGTCATGATACATAATGAGATCCTGATGAGATCAGATGGGATAGATAACGCCAGACCCCTCCATCCCTGACTGGCGGGGCTACACTCTGGCACTAGCCTTAGAGAAGGCAGTTAGCAGAACCCATCAAGAACTTTATACCTTTCTGAGTGCTGTAATTTCACTTCTGGAAATGGATTATAAGGAAAGAATTCAAAGGGAGGGAAAGACGCCCCACAGGAAGACATCCATTGCAGGGTTATTATAACAGTGGAAACCATGGAAATAATCTAATGTCTCATAATATGGGGATGGTCTGGGAAAGCAAGGGATATCCGCTCAGTGAACAATTATGCAATTATTGAACCTAATAAGATCCTGTAATGCAATGTTAATCGAAAAACCACAGGAAAGAAATTCTAGCTAAGTCATAATTACAACGTATCCATGGGCATACATAGGTATTTCAAGAGAACCCAGGTGAGGAGGTGAGGGACCAGCTGCAAGGGCCCAACCTATTACTAGCCATCTGTAGCTTCCTTTTGAATATTTTAATGGAGTGGCACAGCGCAGTCTAACTCTGGGGGAGAGTGGAAGACATTAGGTCTGGAAACGCAAGGCACCAGCGCTTGAGAAATGAGACAGGCTAGACAGAATCATAAAGTAACATGAAA